GGATCGACCTCAGGTGGTTAGACCTGCAGGTGGGTGGTTCCCCTGGGATGCTTTCAAACGAAACTGTGAGCAGAAAGGAGAGCTAGGGACTGGGATTCCTCTCAAGGGTTCCTATCAGCTTTTTTCCACTTCACTGCCTAAGCATGTCCTCTGGGGGCCAGGGTGACTGAATATTTATCAAGGGCCTCCTGGCTGACGACGTGGGAGACTGAGAACAGGAAAATCAGGCCCTGGCAGTGTCTGTGGAGCCTGCCTGGGTGCTGGCCAGGGTCAAGTTGCCCAGGTGACTACTGAGTTACACGCTGCCCCACCGCCCACCTCAGGAGGCGTGTGTGGGCCTGGGCGCTGCCAGAGTTTGCTTCATGGGGCCATTCCCCACCCTGATTCCACTGCTCGCCCAGACCCGACTGTGGCTCCATTGTCCACGGTGGCCTGGGCTGACCAGCTCGGCTTGGAGCCCTGCCCTGGGAGGACGCAGACTACCACGGTGTCACAAAGCACTGCTTTGTGGCCCTGACAGGAGGATTTTGTCACTAGCTGGGAGATGGCCCCTGGCAGATCCTGGCATGTGGTGAGCAGACAGCTCTGTGCTGGTCATGGTATTTTGAGTACCCCCAGTTGGATGTGCTCACTGGCACCTTTTGTGCTGACCCAGAACAGGGGTAGGGGTGGCACAGAAGCAGTAGTTTGTGCCTGGTGCCCACCACTGTGCAGGTTGACAGCAATGGCACCATTAAGGTTGCACAGGGCCCTGACATGGTGGTCTTCCTGGTTTCAAGGCAGGGGCACGGGTCCCTAAATAGTGGTAGCATCCTGTGGGTGCCATATCTGACCCGAGGAGAATGGAAGTGGATATCATGGGGCAGAAAAGAATTTCTTAACCAAGACACACACATATGCACAGTCACAAACCATTCAACTGAAGATTATTTCAACCACATTAAATTTGAGGACCTTAGTTCATTTCAGGTACTTTAAAGATACTCAAAAGATAAGCCACAAACCAGGAAAAGATATGCGTAACACATAAGGGACCGAGGATTTGAATCAAGACTATCGAGAGTCAGGCACTCTTTGTGGAGTGGAAGGAGGAAAGGGACCAAACAGTTCAGTAGATAAACAGGCAAAAATGACAGGCATCTTACAGAAGAGGAAACACACAGGGCTAAGTAAATATGGAGATGCCAGCCTTGTCAGTACCCAGGAAAGTGCAAACCACGACCGTGATGAGGTCTGGTTCCTCCAGTGGTGCAGGCATTTGGACCCTCCCAGCCCAAAGAGCTCTCCTCAGATGGTTCCTAGTGACCCTGGGCCTTCCCCTGGGAGGGGGGCGGGGACCGCTGGGCCCTGCAGAGCCTGTGGTTCGTTCTTCCCCCAAGTATCTTCCCACCTACAGCGTGAGTGGGATCCCTGTCCTTTCCCTTCCTGTCCCTGCCAGACCCCCAACCCCCTTCTCAGCATCTTCCTTTGACTCTTCTCCTAGGTCTCAGCCTGGCCACCTGGGCTGCAAGGACATCTTTTCAAACTGAAAATTAGTTCATGTCATCTCACAAGCCTGTGGGGACTTCAGGGCAGGCTATTTACCACAAGGTAAGTATGCTGACAATTAGCACCATCTAGACCAAGTCCAGGTAAAAGAGGGACTCCCTTGTAACCGAGCAGGACCCTATGGGGCCTTCCGGGGGCAGACCCCCTACTCTGTGTCTTCTACCTGCCTAAAGAAAAACTTTAGCCTCCTAGGCCTTCTCCGAGTTCCAAAGAATAAATTTAATCAGAGAAGTGAGAAAATGCAGAAAGGAAAATAGTCAAGACAAAATAATAATAGGTCATTAAACAAAGGCAAGGGATTTTAGTTTAGTTAGTCAGGGGCTGTAGATAATATTCTGAGCCATATCCTTTGAGCCACTTTGCAGAAACCGAAACTCCCACCAGGTGGAAGAAGTCAACTGTATGCTGCCCACAAGCACGGAGACCCTAGACTGGTGGGAACCAGAAGATTGATGATGTTGACGCCCGATTACCTCACCACCAATCAATCAGAAGAATGTCCACAAGCTGATCACACACTCCACAACCTGCCCTTCCTCACCCTGCTTTTAAAAACTTTTCCCTGAAAGCCATCGGGGAGCTCAGGTCTTTTAAGCACTAGCTGCCTGAGGACTGCTTGTTCAGTGCCTTGCAATAAACAGCTGCACTTTCCTTCACTAGTGTCAGTAGATGACTTTTCTGTGTGTGGGCGGGCGGACCCAAATTTGGTTTGGTAACACCCTCAGCTGACTGTAATCCCTTCTCCTCCCTCATGGGCAGCAGTGCCTGCCATTGGCTGAGGCAGAAGCCAGGTGTGAGAAGTGGCATGTGCTGACTTGGCCAGCTCTGGGGAGGCCCCCCTCCTAACTCGGCTCCCTTGCTTGCACTTTCCTTTGGGGCCTACCTGGCCATGAATCCTTTCCTGATGAGCCTTTAAGAACTAAACAGGCAGCTAAAAGAATATCCTGAAATGACAGAACCCATGCTTGGTGTGAGAACAATATACAGCTGAGCGTACGGTGAACTTTTGCATCATTATATGTCCAAAAAATAAACACTAAGTAGTGGGAGTTGGGTGCCACTTCCAAAGTCGCTGCTAAGAGGAATGGTGAGACCTTTAGTCAGGTGTGACTGAGGGACTGCCATGGTCGTGGCTGGCTTTCCTTGCCGCTCTGTTCTCAGATATCTGGATCTCGGCTCCTCTCTCTCCCTCGGGTCCACCCAACGTGTCTTCCAAGACAGCCCAGGCCACCATGGTTGCCATCCTTCAGTGTGGACTTTGTAAACACAGCAGGCAGGGTGGATCTTTGATCTGCAACGGCTTTCCCTGGATAGTCCTTGTCAACCGTATTCCTCTGGAGATTTATGTCATTCTTTCTCGGTCCCTCTCCTTTTCTTTTTTTCTGTCTTTCACTCAACAAACCAAGCTTTCATTATGCGCCAGATAGTCTTCTAGGCACAACTGAGGATACACCAGTGAACAAAGTAGTCACCAATCCCTGTCCTCATGGAAATGATATTCCACTTGGGGAGACAGGACATAAAAGAAAAAATGAAACTTTGACGTGTGAAACATGATAAGCAACCCTGAGAATGACCTCCATGCACATGGCACCATGTCCGTGAAAAGAGTTAATTTCCCTGGCCATCGAGTGACAGAGAACATGGTTTGAGCAGACACCATAAACAGGCATCAAGCCCAGGGATTTACAGGCGTTACCTCATTTAAATCTGGTAACAACCCATGTGGTAGGTGCTCTTATGGTCTCCAGTTTCCAGATGAGGACTGGCACACACGGAGGTTCAGGGACTTCCTAAGGTCACCCACCTGCTAAGAAAGGAAGTCAGGATTTGAATCTAAACTGTGGGACCCTGGTATCTTTGTTCTTAAGCCTCCCAGCTCTGCCCTGACCCTCCTCAACGCTCACACAGCAGACTCTAGACTGAACCACAGTGAGGATGTCACCCCTGGAACCACACCACAGCTGGGAGAGGGTACACAGCCTCTGAATATGTAGGTGATGAAAGGGGTTTTCAGGTGGGTCTGAAATACCCATTTCCCTTCTGCGCAGAAGGCCCTGGTCCTGGCAGCAGCTGCCTGGCAGTGCCTTTTAGCCCCTGCAGGGTGTGTGGCTCAGCCCTGCCAGCACCAGCCTGAGTTACAGCACTGGTCAGAGGTACCTCCCAAGTGAGCCCTGGGGTGTGTGAGGACACCTGAATGTACCTGGGGCAAGACTAAAGGTATTCTCAGAATCCAGAGACACCACCAGCCCTGTAGCCCCTGTGTACAGTTTGCTCAAAGTGGGGTCTGTAGTATGGGGGGGTGGGGGCAGGGTATGCTCCATGTCTCTTCCCTGCCCATAGTGACAGGAAGCTGAACCCAAGAAACAGACCGTGCGTGCGCGCGCGTGTGTGTATGCAAAATGTCTTACCAAATTCAATACATGAGGCTGAACAACAGCTCCCACCTCCCTGGCCTATATAATAGGGAGAGCACCAAGTTTACAGGGAATGAGTTCCAGGCCCTTAGGCAATAAGCTGTGTGACCTTGGGCAAGTTGCTCAACCTCTCTGGGACTCCATGCCTTCGTAAAATGGAGCAAAAACTAATTTCCTGCCTGCTGCCCAGATTTGTGGTGAGAGTCACAGGAAATAGTGTACCTGAATGTGCTGTGCAAACTGTAAAGTGAGATGCATATCTTATCATCCTTGCAGGGACTGAAACACGGAATCCCACCAGAAGAAATCACCATGAGACTGGTGTAAGTTTTGATCACTGAAGGGTTTAGATTCCCGCTCACCCAAACCAACGGGCCAGGTGTATTGAAAACCGTCCACTTTGTTCCAAAAACATTATTCTGCAAGGCCCATCCCTCCGCTGCCTCCACAGCCGCCAACAGGCGAGAAGCTGGGGAGGCAGGAGGAGCGGGTGAGGGGCATGGAGAGCAGATGCCCAAGGAGGGGCTTGTGGGGAGGCCCTTCTGCAGGGCGGGGTTCACACCACGCTGTGTTTAAACAGGGCCCTGCCGCACACCCAGTCACCCGCTTCAGGCAACAGCCGCAGCATAAGGCCTCTCCCCAGGCCAAGTGCGAGCCCAGCAGATGTGCCATCCTCTCTGCAGAGTGACAGATGTGACCCTAAAACCAAGAAGGTCCCTGCCCCCACAGGCTCAGCCGGCTTCCCGCCCTCCCTCTGGAGAGAGGTGACTAAGAATTCCAGTTGCTCAGAAAACAAGAACGCTTATGTATCGGGCCCCCTCCTGCTTGCCATATGTTACTTGGTTTAATGCACGCATCCGCTCTGTGAAGTATTAGCCACATTTTACAGCCGAGAAAGCTGAGCCCTGGAGAGGCGGCGACATTTACCTCAGCCTCAGCCCCACAGCTTCGAGGGCATCCAGGACTCGTGGGCCCCAAATCCGGCTCTGACAGGACTCATTATTATTAACCGGGCAATAAATACTTCTTAAGTACCTGTTCGTCCAGGAACTGCTGAGGACATGAAACGCGCTGGAGGCGGCAAGGTGCGGCCTCCTGGGTGTGGAGCGAACCCAGGTGCCAACAGCAGGGCCTCCACAGAGAGTTTCTCTGCACGCGTGACCTCGAGGGCCGCGAGGACCAGTGAGCTCCGCTAGCAGGGCTCTGTGAGTCCTCCCAGCCAAACCTCTCTGAGGCTTGTAGGGTCCCCTGGGGACCGTGAGTCACTGTCTCGTGCTCCGGTGATGAAGCTAGTTAGCTCAGCCCGCACTGGAACTCCCACCTCAGGGCTCTTCTTCACCCACCGCGTGCCCGCCGAGGCTTGAGGGGAAGGCGGGCGTGGCTGCGGCGCTCGCGCGACCAGAGCCTGGGCTCCGCCTCCTGCTCCGGAGTCTGCGCAGAGCTGCGCTGGCCAAGCCCGCTGGTTCCGGTGAGCCGCTGTTTGGTTTTCCCGGCGCCCTGGGATTTGGGAGTCAGGCCAGTATTCAGAGCCATTTCCTTCCGTCTCCTTTTTGTGAAAGGAAAGCAGCTCAGAGCTGCCAGAGCCCCAGAGCCGGTGGCTTGCTCCTGCGTGCCTTGCCTACCATTTGGCTGGACTGGAAGGGAGGCCTCTTGGAAGCCCGCTTATTCTCTGGGGGTGGCTGCTGGAATGCGCTCTCCTGTAGCCTCTGCCCTCATGGGGCTCGCCCGTCTTAGTCTCACCCCCCTGCCCTTTGTCCTAAAAGCAAGCAGTGTTACACCGAACTTGGGTTCCATCACCTGCTCGTAGTAAAGCCAGTCTACTGACGCTGCGCTGTGGTGAAGCAAGGTGCAGCATTTTGTTCTAAGGCGCCAGACAAGGAGTCCTCGGGCGGCTAATGCTCAAAAAACCCGAACTCCCAGATGAGTTTCAGGTAAACATTTTTAAAGGCAAGGTGAGGGAGGGGAGTTGCAGGGTTGTGATCAGATCACGCACAATTCTGTGATGGGTTGATGGTTCCACATGTAAGTGGTATATGATACTTGTCTCAATCATTAATTCTTGAGCCAGGCTTTTGTCACTCAAGAGAGGCCAGGGAGACTACAGGCAGACAGAGGGCAATGGGGAGGGGTCTGTACCGAGAAGGCTTCATAGGGTCCTGCTCAATTATAGCAGCTTGGTGTCCAGTCTGACATCTCCAGTGGATGGGGGTCCTCCTGGTGGAGTGTCCTGGGACAAGGCCTCACTGGCCATGGTGACATGGGTGACTTAGTGGCAGCTTGACCTGGGACTCTGAGGTGTGTCTGTGAGCCGAGTCTGAAGCAAGGGGAGGGAAGCTTCATCCACCCTTGTCCCCGGCCCTGCCCCCTGCCTCCAGCGCTGGTTGTTCCTCTTTGAAATCCAGTGTCCTGGGATAGGCAGGGCTCCTTTCCAGAATGATGTGTGGCTTGTTTGCTCACCCCACTGGAAGGCTTCTCCCAACCCTGGCAGCTGCAAATTATTCCACACGACACACACACAAAGTTTCATTTACAAGTCTCTCGTTTCCTTAAGTGATTTTCTATGACTTTCCCTAGAGGCTTTTATCTAAACAAGCTATTCTTCTAGATAAACAGGAAGGGAGATTGATTCACTGTCCTCGGAAATTAGGAGGAATGAAAGTATGCAGGCTCTGCTACTGGGGGACAATGAGCAGGGCTCCTGGGGAGGAAGGCCGGGCTAATCCAGCCTTGCGAGGCTGCCATTCCCATCAGTGGTCAGCCAGCGGGTGCCCTGTCCTGAGCTGGGCTGCGCTCCTTAGTGCCTTCCTGATGGCCATGCAGCTCCCTTGAGGTACTCCAGGGCCTGAGGACCCCAGCTTCATTCATTCCTGAACTGGGCATTAACTCCAGTCCCAGGGCCCCTCTTGAGAGTTAAGTAATGTGAGAGGAATTTCCATGCCTTTGAGTAGTTTCCCTTTGGTCTGCAGATTTCCAGAAGTCGCCACCAGACACTGGTGTCACCTCAAGCTTTTAAACACTGGGCTACCTGTGATTCTAGGTTGCTGTTCATTTAGTCTCAAGATCTATGATTATTTTCCATACAGTAAAGTTATTAAAGGCAGTGGAATTCCAGAGTCATCTGTAAGATAACACTTTTTTTCCTTAGGTCCTAGAGACAGTGTGAGCCAGGCTAGGAGGGCTGCTCATGCTTACTCAGTCTCTCAAGGGCAGTATACTGGAGGTGAAAGAATCTATCTGAGATCAAATTCTGGCCCTGCTGTGTGACTTCGGGCAACTTAATTAACTTCTCTGTACTTCTGTTTCCTCATCTGTCAAAGAAGAATGACAATACCTATCTTACTGTGTAGCTGTGAAAATTAAATAAAATGGATGTAAACACCCTCACACAATACCTGGCACATAGCAAGGGCTTAGTCAATGAGAATTCTCTTTCTCTTCCAAAATCTGGGGTTACCTGAGAAGGAATCTAGTATTAGAAATCTCTCAACATTTCAGTGGAGTTGCCTGAAAGATCAGAAATGTTTGGGAAAGGGATTAGAAGAGAAATAGGGTCTATGAGAATGTCATATGGTCACCAGGAAACAAGGATGTGAGAAGTTCTTTAGCAGAAATTAGGAGATGACCTCCTTCATTTGAATCCTAGTGATGGATGATTTAGTCTGAGTATGATTACATGGAAATGAGACATTTTCCATTTGTGATAGAGGAAAACCATCTCCTTGACTTAGGGCCACTCTCTAGGTATACGGGACCCACCCTACATTCTGGTTCAGTTTCCTTCCCCAGCCCTGGTCCTTGGCAAGTGTGTAAAAGTCTTCATAAATGCATAAGAATAATTGCTCAAGACCACTGATGTGTTTCTCTCAAATCCTCTTGCTCATCTATAAAACAGAAACAGTTGAAGTAAAGTGACATTACCCAGGGTCACTGGGAATTGAGTTCCTGTCCACTGTTCCTTGGACCTGTTGATCCCCAAGGCTACCTTAGGCAGAGACCAGCAGCAAGTTCAAGGCCTTGTCAGGAAGGTTCTCCTTTAATTACACCCATCCATATACATGAAACACAGGCTTCCCTGGAATTGTTGAAAAAAAGAGATAAAAAGACTTGAACAAGAAAGTTCACTGCAGCTTTATTCGAAACAACCCAAATGCCCATCAGCAGAAGAATGGTAGACAAATTGTGGTATATCATACAGTGGAATACTACACAGCTATAAAAAAGAGTGAATTTCTGAAGCACACAACAATATGAACCATTAGGCTGAGAGAAAGAAGCTATGTGCAGAAAAAAGTATACACTGTATGATTCTATTTACATGAAGTTCAAAAACTCAGCAAAAATAAACTAAGGTGATAGAAGTCAGAACATGGATTACCTTGGGGTGGGGATGGGTACCTTAGACTTGGAAGGGGCACAGAGAACTTCTGGGGAGATAGGGATGTTCTGTATCTTGGTTTGAGTAGTGGTTACATGGGTATATATAGATACCAATTCATAGAGATGTACACTCAAGATCTGTACATTTTATTGCATGTAAATAAGAATCAGAATTTTTTTCATTATGTCAATAAAATATTTGAAAAGGAAAAGAGGAATTGGAGAAGTGTGAAAAGGTCAAGTTAAATAGGGGCTATTCAACTTGGAGCTGGCCTCAGTCATCAGAAAGCCCGTTAACCGGGAGGGTGGGTGGAGCTCAGTGGTAGCTCATCTTTAGCATGGACAAGGTCCTGAGTTCAATCCCCAGTACCTCCTTTAAATAAAATAAAGTAAAATAAAAATTTAAAAAAGAGAAAGCCCAGTAACCTGCTTCTCCTTGGGGCTGTGAGTCATGAGACTGAGGCCTTCCCCTGAGCCACATTCTGACCCTGGCCCCAGCAACAGACTATCTGACATTGGATTTATGTCAAACAATACTTCCAGGCCTTTATTTCAATTTTGCAGATAATATTAAGCCAAAAATTTGCCTCTATGCAATTCTCCCCACAAGTATGCCCCCATTTCCCCTGAACTCCCTGAACCATTCACCTAGTCACCCCAGCAGCCATCTGTGACCCTTACTTGTTTGTACCCCACACCTAATCAATCACCAAGCCCTATCACTTCTACATCCTTATTAGCTTTAACACACATCCATTTGTTCTCCACCTCCAACATCCTAAATCCAGACCACATCATCCTACATAATGCACCAAACTCCTACCTGGTCTTCCAGTCTCCCATGGTCTTGCTTTTCTTCAGTGAGCTCCTCATGCTGCTAAAGGGTTCACTGCCCTAAAAATGCAAATCGCAAAATACTTGAAAATATTTCTACAGCTGCTAGATAGATAGGATGGTCACAGACAGGATGGTCACAGAAGGTGACATTTGAGCTTCTGCTGAAAGGAAGAGATTGCTTGTCACCCCACAGTCAACATGTAGGCCATAGTCATTATGATCTCCTGGCAACTCCTAGAATAGGCTGTGCTCCCTCAGGCCTCAGGGACTTTGCATATACTGCTTCCTCTACCCACAAGTCAAGAACTGTGCAGGGCTTGAGATTTTACCCTACTTGTGGGCTAATCAGTTAGCCTACTACAATTCATGGATGTGGGTGGAAGACATGTGACTCCTGGGTCAGAGGACACTTTATTATCCCTAGAGATAGTTGTAGCCGGAGTATTGGCATTTTTTCACTGTTTTTCTGACCCCAGATGACCCAACACCACCATTCAGTAAGATAGATGAGGTCTAAATAAGTAAGTAAAACTGTTAGGGAAGGAATTGAGACCATAACAAGACAAGAACAGTTGAGAAGAGAGTATTTGGAACTGACTGCAACCTTCACAGAACTTTGGTGTTGGCAGGGGCCTCTATATTAAGTGATGGAAGCCCCACCCTGAACAGCTGCCATTCTTGAAAATCTGCTCAGGGCCTGGTGAGGAGGTTGACATGTCCACAGATAAATTGCAAGGCTGTGCTCTTAAGCTCCAAGCTCTGGTAGAGATGTGCACAATGGAAGCCGACAGGATGGACAGGAGGAGACCACTGAGGCTATATCTTGACTGATGGGCGGGAATTCCTCAGAAGGGCTTAAATACTGGTTTTGAAAATAGCACTGCATACAAGAAAAGGACAAGGGCATTTCTGAGGCAGAAGTTCCTTAAGTCTCACATTTATGCAATACTTTTGAGTGTTTTCTGGTGGGGGAGGGGTGTGTGAAATCCCTACAGATGCACCTGGGCAACTTGCCCAGAGAGGTGAAATTCCTTTCAGGTACTGCCTAACTGCCAGCAGTGAAAGGGACCAGAGGGCTGCGGGGCTGGCGGTGTGGGGGCAGCGTGCTCTTTAG